TTTCCAGGTGCAGAAGGTGATGCCCAACGACAGCTTCTACTTCTCCATCGTGCGCGACCCGGCCACGCTGGGCGAATCCTCCTTCTCCTACTTCCGCGCCGCCGCCCCGGCCTTCCGCAATTCCCCCTCCCTGGACGCCTTCCTGGCTCACCCCACCCTCTTCTACCGGCCCGGGATCCGCGGGAATCACTACGCCAGGAACCTCCAGTGGTTCGACTTCGGCCTCCCCGACGATCCCAAGGATCCCCGGGAGATCCGGGAATCCCTGGAAAAGCTGGATCGCACCTTCTCCCTGGTCCTGCTGGCGGAAAACTTCGACGAGTCGCTGGTCCTGCTGCGGGAAGCCCTTTGCTGGCCGGAGGAATCCGTGGATACCTTCGCCCACAATTCCCGCCCTCACCCCAAGGAATCCCGGGGCGTCTCCTCATCCCAAGCCGAGCGGCTCCGAGCCTGGAACCGCCTGGATTGGGAGCTCTACTCCCACCTCAACCGCACCTTCTGGCGGCGGGCGGAATCCTTCGGCATCGCCCGGCTCCGGCGCGAGGTCCGGCGGCTCCGGGAGCGCCGGGAGAGCTTGGCCAGGAGGTGCCTGAGGGGAGGGGGGCCCGTCCCGGCCAAGGCCATTCCCGACGGGAGGCTCCGGCCTTTCCAGCCCCCCGGGGGAGGGAATATCCTGGGATTCTCCGTCCGGGCCGGGCTGGAGCCCGAGGAGCGGGAAAGGTGCGTCCGGATGGCGACGCCGGAGCTGCAGTACAAGGATCTGCTGGACAGGAGGCAGTTCGGGGGCAAAAACGACTCCAAGGGGGGATGAATTCCTGGTGGGAATTTCAGGAGAGCCCCCCTCGGGAATTGTGCCGGGAAATGGGGGCGGTACGATCCCGAAATCCCGCTGGGAATTCCCCCTGAAATCCTGACAGGAATTGGGGAAGTCCACCTGAAATTCTGCTGGGAATTCCCCTTTAAATTCCAGTGGGAATTGGGGAATTCCCCCTGAAATCCCAGTGGGAATTGGGGAATTCTGCCCTGAAATCCTGGTGGGAATTGGGGAATTCCACCCTGAATTCCCGGTGGGAATTTCGGGAGAGCCCCCCTCGGGAATTGTGCCGGGAAATGGGGGCGGTACGATCCCGAAATCCCGGTGGGAATTGGGGAATTCTGCCCTGAAATTCTGGTAGGAATTGGGGAATTCCCCCTGAAATCCCACTGGGAATTGCCCTTTAAATTCCAGTGGGAATTGGGGAATTCCCCCTGAAATTCTGGTGGGAATTGGGGAATTCTGCCCTGAAATCCCACTGGGAATTGGGGAATTCCTCCTGAAATCCTACCAGGAATTTGGGAGAGCCCCTCGGGAATTGTCCTG